GCTTAGGCATGCTTAATGATGATTGTACAAGTTCAAGGGATCAATCTTAGGGTTTGGTATTGTGTTTAGATCATTTTTTCATGTATAGGTTTTCAATTAGGGTTTAAGGGGTTTAAAAGTCAACTTTGGTTAACCAAGGAAAACCATGAACCAAAATGAGTTCAAATCATTTAAATGATAATTATGAACAAGTTTACATCACTTTCCAAGGTTTACAACCGAGTTTGGACCAATATATCATATTGAGTTGCATGAAATGTAATTATGAAAGAGTCTGAATTTACGTTTAGAGTTTATTGATGTTTTATGATTAGAAGGGCAGAAGAGCTTCCAAGAACCACTAGAGATGACCTAAGAAGGTGTTTAATAGATGTGCAATTGGCCAAGACAAGTTCCGAAGCTTCACATATGATTTTTGTTAGGCTAGGACATTCCACGCGAAGAGGATTCCAATCGCACTATAGATTTAAATATGATGAATTCCAAGGCTAAGACAACCTCTTACAAAAATATTATCTTGAATTGTTGGTTTGGTATCTTGTGCCACATCAACAACATGCTTAACATATTTGGAGCTGTTGTCTCTTTTCATATTTACATAATCCTAGAGTCTATAATTGATAACCCCGATGAGAAAGAATTAATACGTTAGGTGTTCTTTCATGCGTAGCCCAATGCAAGATCTTCCTCATTGTTAATTTTGTTTCATGATATTTTGTTTAGTCTTTGCAATTACTTTCCGGGATTATTTACTTTTATTTTAGCAAAAAAAACTAATTTAAATTTTCTTTTAGCTCATCCAACATTCCTACTGCCCGTTTTATTTTAGGTCATCTTGCTGACCCCTCAACATCTATTTTACGTAGTAAAATTGAAAATAACAAAAGGAAAGCGTGGTGCACGCTGCAACGAATGGGTGGGTTTTATGCCAACGTTGTTCGTATTCTATTGCAATTCATGTTTGCCTGCTTAAAATCACTCTACTTTCATATATTGATTCAGTTTTGAAAGAGCCCGCATAAAAACGTTGGGGCATCAGACCTATTTGATGCAACTTAGCTGTTTTATAAACGTCTTTGAAGTCTTTTTATATCAAACTGCTCCAAATCTTTTTATGAATCTTTGCAGACATTAGCTTCACGCGCTTACTGATGAGAAAAGCAGGAGCGCTTCCTTCCTTCGGTATAAAGCTTACTACTGGCATTGGCCTTCCGCGAAATCGAACATGCTACTTGCATATGTGTAACATATCGACCAGGCCCACTAACTGTTCGACCGATTGTCCAAGAGAGAAGAAAAAGAAGGTCATTGTTATCACGGGACCCACTGGAGCCGGCAAGAGCAGGCTGGCTTTGAATCTTGCAAAAAGGTTGGACGGAGAGATCATCAGCGCAGACTCCGTTCAAATTTACCGCGGCCTTGACGTTGGCTCCGCCAAGCCAACCCTTGCAGAACAAAAAATTGTCCCCCATCACCTCATCAACATACTGAATCCATCTGAAGAGTACTCCGCTGGTCAATTCTTCGAGGATGCCCGGAAGGCCACCAACGAAGTCCTCAGCAAGGGCAAGGTCCCTCTTGTTACAGGAGGAACCGGACTTTATCTCCGGTGGTTCATATATGGCAAACCTGAAGTTCCAAAGGCATCTGTTGATGTAACATACGACGTTTGCTCGGAACTCAAACACTTGCAGGAGAAAGACAAGTGGGATGAAGCTGTGGAGCTAGTGGTGAAGGCTGGCAATTCAGAGGCTCGAACTATTCCGCTTAACAACTGGTATCGTTTGCGTCGCAGCCTTGAGATAATCAGGTCTTCGGGCTTTCCTCCCTCTGCTTTTGTAATCCCATACGAGTCCTTTAAAAAGCAACCTGCGTTTGAACAGAGGTGGTCTGATCCTGCAGAGAAAGAACTAGACTACGACTTCATATGCCTTTTTCTTACAAGCCCGAGAGTTGATCTTTACAGGGCTATTGATCTGAGGTGCGAGGAAATGCTCCGAGAGACTGAAGGACTTCTTTCTGAAGCCTCATGGCTTCTCAATATCGGCCTTCGACCGAATATGAGCTCTGCAACGCGAGCAATTGGTTACCGACAGGCAATGAAGTACTTGTTGGAATGCAGAAATTATGGAGGGAGAAGCACAGCAGATAACTTCAAAGCTTTCTTATATGAGTTCCAGAAAGCATCTCGGAATTTTGCAAAGAGGCAGATGACTTGGTTCAGGAGTGAATTTCTGTATCACCGGATTGACTCGTCAAGTCCTTTAGACGATGTGGTTGACTTCATCTGCAGTGCTTACGAGCAGACTGAGAAGCTGATGGTGCCTAGCAATCTTCTAATGACGAAGAATGCGGACGTGCGGCAGAAGAACTATGAATTGAAGTCTTATCGAACCCAGAATATGATTTTCAAGAAAGAAACAGATTGTGGCGATGTTTTAGATTGGGTATGGAGAACACAACAAGGTTAGCAGAATAACAGTGAGTCTTTGGGTCTGACCTTTGCAAAAAAAAAACAAATATTATTATTCCTATGAATATTGATGAGACTGTAGTATTCCAAATTGTCTGAGGATGATAATTAGCCCATGGCATATATGAAAAAAAAGAACTTTGTAAGTGAAAAGATTATTGAGTTTGAAATGTTTCGGGAAAGTTGTAGCATCTCTATATGTATTTTCAATATCAATAAAAAAAGGGATAAGAGGATTTGAAGAAAGACTTGGTAATAATAACAACAACATCAAATTTTTATCCTACCACTTGGGGTCGGATTTAACATGAATCCTTTTTCTCCGTTTTTTCATATTCAGAATCACATTCTCATTTAAATTTGATAAAAAAAGTAATTTCTAATACTTCGTAATCAAGTATTTTAGGTGCGTCTCTGCTTTTCTTAAAATAAGTTAAATCTAATATATCTACTCTCCTAATTGGGTCAAATGGGTCATCGAAAGGTCGATGTTTTATTTGACCAAATCGTCTAAGACTACTCTCTCTAATATTATCTACCGTTGGAGATATTCCAACCTTTTCAAAAATATACTCGTTTCACAATTTTTCTTTTTAGAGTAAAGTCACTTATCCACTTCAGCATCCTCATCTCTACAAAATTTAACATAATTGCATGCTTCTCTTTTAATGGGCAATAAAACATTGTACGTCTCACCACCATTTATAATATTTCAATAAGTTTGGGGGTTTCTTTTCTATTACAAAAACAGGTTCAATGTATTCCTTCACTTCAACCATGAAACTTTAATTCTAGAATAATATTCAACTATTGATCCCTATTGATTGTGACCTAGTTCAATTTATTTGTGATATCCTTAGGGCATAAAAAGCTCTGGGAGAGCCCTTCAGAGGAGCTTGCCGATAAGGATTACATTATTAATTTGTTCTTTGAAGATGAACTTATACACTATGATCTTTATAAGGGAGAATGGAAATTTTACCATGGACTGGTGTTAGTTGCTACTCTAAATGGTCATGCTCCATTCGAGCAAGTCTCACTATGAATGCATGAACCATCATATTGATTTCCTTAAAGAGAACCTTCTAAGTACCTATAAGTTATCTGCATAAGCTTGTAACAATATATATTTAGTTTTAAGGTTCAATTCTTTAAATACGCAAGTTATTAGAAGGGTGAGTGAATTTAATATTGGAGTATTTTTTTAATTTTTATTGAATAGCATAATGGGAGTGTAAGGTGGACTGAAAGTTCGTTAGGGATGTTAAGCCCTTATGAGCTT